GTTTTCGAGTTTCCCCGGCCGGGCAAGTCGTCAGCCCCCCCCCCCACACACACACATCCCCCCCCCCCACCGTAAAAGCTGAAGTTTTACGCTGCTGCAGGCAGCATTGTGGAACTCTACGATTCACCAAGGTCTGTCAACTTTGCGCACTCAGGCAGTGACCCAGGCCCACGCAGAACATTCAGCCGACACTGGTTGAGTCCAATTATTTTGTAAGGTATAATATGTAATGAAGAGTTGGTGTTTCACAATAATGCAAATCCCGAGAATAATAAAACTGACGTTGGTAAATGAGCATATTAAAGTAAAGTTCTAGTCTATTTTGATGATGAAAACTTAGGCTTGTTTGAAACATAAAAAAGAATGGTTTGTTTAATAATTTCCGCCCCTCCTAGCAAAGTGGAGTAGGCTGGAGAAAAGCAAATAGCAACATACGTACGTTGGGCGTTGATGAAAAGGCATTTCCTTGCGTTGTCGATTTGAGCAGTAATTTCGTCTTTCTTTTCATTTTTTTGTCCATAAGACATAGAAGGAATTGTTACTTTTAGTTATAGAGAAATATCTGATCTAGCAATCGACTTGCAGATCACCACAAAGGTAGGATTTATCGGTGACTAAATTTTCAGCAGCCTGCTGAAATGTTGGCTATACACCACGCACTGCAGCAGACTAACGGTGCATGCATGCCATGATGGTCTAGAAATTTGTAGTAGCTGTAGGCAGGTAGGCCTTCATCAATCATGTAATCAGAGTAATTAAGGTGTGGTAGGCCTCCGCATCCAGACATGTCACTTGGTGTGAAAAAGGAGTCTTTCATAACGTCTTTATTCCTGCCTCCGTGCGTTATGTATGATGTACACCATTGTTTTACCTAGGACATGTAGGAAGTGACAGCATGATAAACGTGAACACTGAGGTGCGAGTGAGACCATCAATCATTGGTTCCCTCCTCCACGGACATGATGGACCATCTAACCACCATGGTCACCATGTTACATCCATGACAGTATAGTCACAAGGTCCCTTATTTCTGTACTTTCTGTGAAAACCAATCAGACTTGACAAAAGGCATGAAACTGAAAGGTGGTGAAATTAGGGATCTGGCGACTACAACTTGTATAGGTAGCCTAGCCGAACTTTGCAGAAATCTCACCTTTTGGTTGGTTTTGCTTACACCTCGAATAAGCCCATTCAAAATTTTTGGCACGTAGGAATTGTGGGGCTAAAATGTTGCATCCTGACTCCACTTTTCTCATCATATATCATCTCATTAAAAGCCAGTCATTACAGAAATGCTGGAAGGACACGAATTCTGGACTGAGAAACACTTACAGATGTTGTTGGGAAATACTTATTTAGGGGATTCTTTATTCACCTTTCATAGATATTCCAAAACTGCCCAGGCACACCATAGAACGTCTTTTACTTCTGAAGAATTCCAAACCAGAACGGCAATGCAGAAAAACTCTAAGGTGCGAACATCTGCATTGCTACACGTATGGCGCAGAACGGTTTGTTTGTCCCAAAACATGGTTCATCGAGGCCAGTTGGGCACGTGCGTGACTGAAATTACGAATTGGCTTATTGGCAACTCATTCAAAATGGACATTTGTCTCACTGACTTTTAATAAGGTTGGTTTTTCCAACATATTTGGAAGCATTACTGCGGCCCAGATTAATGCCTTTTCTACTTTTTTTGCAATAACTAGCCTTAATTGAAATAATACAGGTGTGAAGAAAAAAGGGCATCAGGATGCAGCATTGTTTTAGATCCTTAAAACCGTCCTCTTGCTGTAACCGTCAAAAATTCCTTCCACTTCCCTGTACAGTAAATAGCCCTGTCACATGTCACTTGACTGATTTTGACTGATAGGAAAGCTGTGTTGAGAATGCATCTTTGCATAGGAGGGTTTTAATTAATTGGCACCGGAAGAGTCACTGCCCAACTAATACCTTAAACCTTGCCCTGTTGATCAGGAGTTCAACAGTTTAGAGCTCTTTCCAGTTGTGAACAACAATTTTAATATTGGAAAGAGAGTTTAAAACAAAACTAAAGGGTTTAAATCATTCGCATACTCAGTACATGTAGGTGCTTGCATATTGGGGATATTTATTTAATTCTAAAAATTGCGTAAAAGCATTCTCTGATAAATGTGGACTTCAGAGGCCCCTAATTAATATATAATGTATTACTACTCTGACATTCCCCCAAAATCATTTCCTTTAATAACAAATAAATCCTTACTAACTCTGCACTGATTTATTTAGTTTGTCATCATTTGTAATAATAAAGTCAAATAAAATTTCCTGGACAACCTCACAAAATTTTTTAAGTATATGTAGAATAAAGTCCAGGACCTTCCACTCTGATAGTGTCAGAAAGCCTGCTGTGAGACATGGGTTCCGCATACAATGTAGTTCCAATTCTGCTCCACATGAAGATACAAAAATATGTAATAGCAGTTGCGTCAATAACATTAACACTGTGCACCCGACTATGTTCAGTAACAGACTACATGTATAACAGTCGTGAATAATTTGCATCTGGAACCCGAATGTTTATTTGGTTGCCACCTTGAAGGATAAATGGCGTGTGTTGTGACAATATCATTTTCTCAGAAATTTCTTCATTATTTTATTATTTTGTGAGGTAATTTTCCACATTTAATGTACATTAGTACAGATAAAGATTCTGAACCAAAGCAATTGTTGTCACTCTTTGATTTGTCGTGAATATGTTTTCTATTGCATGGGTTGTGTTCACATTTTTGCAGTTTCATCTCCGGATATGATCATGAAAATCTCCTGTCGCATGTTGCTGTTGTTGTTTTGCTTTAAAGGCTCTTTCAGCCACTCATGTTATTTGTGCCAAGAGCTATACGTTTGTTATAAGAAGGTCCAGTTTTAGAGGCAGGAGGAAGCCGGGGTACCCAGAGAAAACTTGCGAGAGCGAGTGTGGACTGGAAACCAAGCGTACTGAAAGCCTGGGCGAAGCCAGGACTCGAACCCGGGCCTCATTGGTGCAAAGCGAGGAAAGAACCGCTACGCTAACCCACTCCCCCCCCTGTCGCATCATGATGTCGTTGTTTTTCATCAAAAAACAATGTTCCTATTCTCTCCAGTGTCCCAGCTTTCTGTGTGGTTTCACACACATGCAGTGTCATTGTCTACTACATGTACATATTTTGGGGTGATTTCTGATGGAAAAATTGTGTGAAAACTGTACCGGTTTTTAGAGGCTTTCAAAAATGGGAAAACAAAAATTTGCATGGATGGCCAAATTCAGCATGTTTCATGTCAGAATAAAGAGTAATTTTCTTCCACAAGATAATATCACATCGTCTCCAATCAAGTTAAACTAATTTCGACACCACCATTACCATTTTTACTGCAAAATAAAGATGGCGCAACCCACAAGACTTCCCGGTGATCGGCTCGTTACATGGTTCAAGATATTTCTTATATGCATCTTAAAACCAATGAACAACGTTGATAAGGGTCCTGAAGTGTATCATGTGAAGCTGAATATTTGAACCACCAAAATGATGTTTGAAATTGTGAATTGGATACACGTCAGAAAAAGATTGAATAAACGTAACTAGTTTTGCATAGTTACAGCTATAAATTTCAGTGGAGTCATTCTCACTGAATTCACTACCGTTGACTGAGTGTCAGGCTTGCTGAGTCAGGGTGCTAACATTGTTATTTATCCCTTTTCTGTTATCTTTCAAACTATTTACTGAATGTTCCTTCCGTCATTTTTAGGATGGATGTTCCCCAGTGGGTCAAGACCTTTATCTGTTTGGCTGTAGTTGTGGTGTCAGCTTCAGCAACACAATCTGAAGGTAGGAGATAGGCTACTTAGTATAGTTTCTGTAAAAATCTGTGATGGAAGTTTGGAGCGGGGTTTGATTTTTAGACCAATTTGACATTAATTTTGTGCCATGTGTTTTATTTTGCAGTGCATTATTTAAAATATGGTGGTATTGATTATATAAAATTGTCTTTGTTCTACCTTAATTTCAACAGAAATTGAAGACAACAAAATATCGATTCGATTTGATAAAGTCAACCTGAAGCAGGTAATGGAGTAATTCATACTGGAAGTATTTCATAAAGGAAGTAATTCCTGGATTGATCTGAGATTGGGTTGTCTCTCTAATTTATGAGCTGTGTTATTTTCAAGCAGGCCATTGCTTTCATTTTGTTACATGTAAGCACAGTGTTACAGATTTCTTTCTAACTTTGTCTTCTTTCCTTTGTCTTCAGTGGAATGAGAATGAAAACGATCCTACCAACAAATTCCAATTGATTGTCGCCAGGAGCGTTTCTGACTACTGCTCGGGCTCTGACTGTTCACTGGGAGAAAACGGCTCATCCACGTAAGATTGAAAGTTTCCTCTAAGATCAGATTTTTAGAAGATTGAATGAATGTGGTGGGACTGTTATGAGTCTCTTTTTTGTTTTCATCTCGTTTCTTGCAGCACTCCATTTACTGTCAGTGACATCATGATTCTAGAGGGTTACCCGACTGATGAAAATGCCGACGTCCAGATTGTGTTCTATGTGTCCATCGCTAACCAACAGAAATCTGAGAGTGGTAACCAGTTCGCTCTGAAGAAATCAATCCTGGAAGGTCAGATATAATCAAAAATATAAACAAAAGTATCGATATATGGTATACCCCATAATTACAGCATTTCAAATACTTGTTACCAGCTTGGTTTTCCAGGGTACTGGAGGCCGGATTACCCACATTGCTGCTATTCCAAATTATGTCAAGCATGCCCATCAGGGGTGATGGTGGCCATGTGGTCTGATCCAAGCAGTTCTGAGCAGTAGTGAAAACTGTTTTCTGCACTGTTGTGTCTCTAGTAATTTTGAAGGCTCACTTGATGGACATCGCTAACGCTACCAGTTACAGTGTGGTTTTCATCGGGGATGAGCGTGTCGGTGCACCGTTAGACGGCACACTGAACACCATCATTATCCCCATTGCCATTGCTACACTGGTACTCCTCATCCTCATCACGTTGTGCCTTCACTTCAATGAGTGAGTACCGGTAGAGCTTGAGTTGAAATATTTCCTTCACCTTATGTGTAATGATGCATTTAGTTGGAATGGGTCATAGCTGACACTTGGAGACACTTGGAGCCAATCTCACTGAACAGTGCCACTGGTGAATGCTGTTGGGGCTGCAAGCTTAGACTTGAAAGCCGTTTGGCCTCAGGGACCCGAAGATCACAAGCACCCTACAGGGTCAGTAACACTAACAAAACAAGGCACATTGATCAATCAGCTTAAAGGATCTCTAACCCAAATCTCTGTTGAGGGTTAGGGTTAAACATATGAAGGTAGTTGGCCGATAAACCCCAGCTAGCTTAAAGGGTGGGGCGTCTACACTTGGTGAGCAGAGATCTTGACAACAACGGGCCTGTTTGTTGCACATGGATTTAGATCCCAATCCGTAATCAGTCGATCCACAGACACCAGAACCCACCTGATGGATGGAGCAAACCAGCGTTGGGATGACTGATTGAGATCTAGATCCGTGTGAAACTAGTAAGCCCCAAGTTCTAGATCTGTCCCAAAATTCTCTGGAAAGATAGAGGATTTGTGGTACTGAGAACGATTGAGCCAAGTGAGTTTATGCTATATTCATGTCATTGGTGCATAGAAAGAGATTCCTGTGTTAAATTTGGGTTCAAAAATTGCACTTTCGATATGCCCTCTAAGTTCTGATTATTGCCCATTCCTGTTGTTTGTTAGAAAACGACAAGAGAAGCAGAGGAAGGGATTGACCACCATCAAGCGGGGGGATATACCTAGCAACGATGCTCACAGTGAGGGAATAGTCCTGACGTCAGTCAACAAGAACTCGGGTAAGGTCTTGCTGCTGAGCAGGCTGCAGGGTGGAAACAGTGGGTATAGCTAGGTTTCGTCGCAATGCGCACAACCATTCAGTGTGTTTGTATTGGCTTAGGAGGTACAGAGACAAATGTAGTATCCCGCTCTGTTCGTCACCAGCAATGAAATACTCATGGGTGGGGTTTATGAAATGCGTGTCGGGGCTGATGGCAACTTGACAAGCTCTAAGTCTGATTGGAGAAAATCTCAAATTCAAGCATTAGCATGGTGAATTTTCAGGCTTGAGAGAGTGGAATAACGGAGTGAAGTGGGAAAAGTAAGCTGTCATGTTGAAGAGTTGTCTCAGATTTTGCAAGGACTGAAATGTGCATGTACACGTAGTCACCCGTGTTTAAAAATTTGGGGTCAAGTAACTGAGGGTGTACCTCGCCAAATGATAGATACGTGTTGAACTGAAACCCGTTTTCTCCCCATTTTGTATTTGTGCCACTAAAAGCTAACTTTCACTGGCATGAGCTGGGCTTGTGTGTTTTCTGCCAACTGATAACAGTAGTGTGAACTACTTTGCTAAACTTGGCATATTCCTGGCTAATTTGAAGCGCCGCCTTGCTTGTTAGCATTTGTTTGTACCAAACAAGACATTGAAAGAAAGTAGACACTTTGGTGTAATAATTGTATTTCCTTCATTAATTCCTTTATTTTGCAGTCGTGCCGTCTGGTCCAAAAAGAAGTATGTACTTTTTTTTTACACAACAAGTGTTTGTGTCTACACCAGGATTTTCTGGTTCTGTTCAAGCCACATTCGTGTGCCTGCAAATGCATGTGCAGCTCATCATGTTTTGAGGTGTAGGGATAGCAAAACAAATGGTTGGAAAGAAATCGTCCGTTGAAAATGGCATAGTTCTTCAATATCAAATGTGTGTTAAGGGGCCACTGCAGTCCCCCCCCCATTCTGAGAGCCGACCACTCCCCCCTCCTCCACCATAATCCCAATGCCCATTAGATTTCACTGTAATTAGAGCTCACAAGCCAACTGTATTCCCTCACTGGTTTGTGTACCTGTCATGATGTAATTGCCTGGGAAGTACCATTTCTGGCAAATACTGCTTCCCACTTGAACATGTATGCAGTCCTCAAAGTGCCCTCCACAAAACATGCCTAAACCAGTCCTGAGAAAATTCCTCCCACAACATATTTATCATGAGTAGTCGGTGTGTCTCCGTCAGTTTTGCATTACCAGTTGACTTTCTCTCTTTCACAAAAAAAGATGTCCCCCACCCCAAATTTGCACCCAGTTCAATGCATGAACAGACACAGAGAGAATTGTGAATTAGCACTGTATCTTTGTTCATGTACATGTTTAGGGTTGGACTTACATGGAGGTGTTTCATGTCTGAGGTGGAGGGCACGAAGGAAAAAGAATAGATACATGTATGATGCACACTGCAAATTAGGATAAAATACAAAAGTGCAATCCATTTGAGACCAGTTGGTTTCAAGAAGCATTCTGCTAAGGTTTCTATGGCAACTGTAGCATTTGTTTGAAAGAAGTGATAACTTCAGTAATGGTATCCTTATTCTACTAGCGGTAATGAAATTGTGATAAAGAATTTGTCTTTTGGAGGTGGTGGACACAGAGTTCATTCATTTTTTAGAGAGTTTTTATTTTTTTAATTCAAACAAAATGTAAACGTGATATGGTCTGGGGTGTTTTGTTGACAACTGTGGGTGTGGAAATCGACTAATTGGAATTGGATCAAATTGTTACCGATGATCCTCATGCATGCCACAAGATCACTCTCTGAAGGGGAAGAAACCAAACAGTGTTTTATGTAAATGTGAAGACTGAGGCACATCACAGGCTTGGGCTTGGTGTGTGTCGCTCTAGTTCTCCAACAGAGCCATGTTACCTTCCTAAATTGATTGGTCCTGTAGTAACATTTCCAAACCACCTTTCTGTGCAGCTGAAGTGTATGTTTGTTATCCATTGTGGTACAATCAAGTATACATTACTGTAGCCTCAATCACAGTGTACTTGAGAAGTCTTATAAACTTTTATTGTATGAATGGCATCACAGATCTCAAATACAGTGGTGTTCTTACGTACATGTTTGCTGATTGAAGTAGATCTCATCATGTTAGTCACTTTCTCTAAAGAGAACTTCTCAAAATGCCAGTCACTATTTAGGAAGAACCCTAGCAGTGTTCCCCAGCCAGTTTTCTTGAAATCAACCAATTTGTTTACATGTTGCTCCGGGGCTCAAAAAGGTTCCCCAAATACCCTCTTTTGGCCCTGAGAAAATGAGGTTTTCTGGTCTCGTGTGTGTTAGACTATTTACATCAGTGAAATGCGACCCCAAAGTAGAGATCGTTGCTGCTCCTCCAAACTAATATATAAAGTGTCCTCTCTGTTTGCTTCAGCAAAGGTACCAAAATTCCTCGTCCAACAAATTGAGAAATGCTGATCAATATGAATATATGAGGTCACATGACCAGTGCCATAAGCAGTACAATATACACGTATGTACATGTACATGTAGTTACAAGTCATTCAGTCCAGTGAACTACATCAAAGATGTGCCTTCACCATTACCTGTGCCTTGTACATGTAACTCCTGACCCTAAGTTACAATTTTGCTTGCAATTGATTGGCTGCTAAATCATCACGTTTTTGATTCAAGACACTGCTAGGGTTTGAAACACTGTCCATCAGTTATTCCTGTCGCAGATGTGGTTACTTGTCCATTTCTCCTCACATGATTTTGTTGTATTTTTCTTCTCATTTCTTTCCCAATCCTTGTACCCACCTTACATTTTCTCACTGGCTTCCGGTCAACAATCTTCAGATGATGAGGAGGACAACCCTCGAGCGTAGTACCTGAACTCCTCGTCAGCTTTTCTAATGTCTATAGTGCCAGGTATCCATGCATGTGATGACCCATCTCTCTCTCATGATACTAACAGGCAGCCGTCTCCATCCATGATGTCAGTGTAGGGCTAATGCAGCATGAGGTACACTTTCCAAGGAAGACAAGCTTAAGAAATCTGAACTGTTGCTGGCAGACAAATTTGTGTGAAACAGTTCAGCAATACGTCTTCAAGACTTTCTCATCCTCTTCCGTAGTTTCGAGCAAGTTCTTGGAACAAGTCCCCAAAATGTATAAATTATGCACGATGTAAATTTGCATTTGGTGGATTCAAATTGCTGAGTTAATGTTTTCTTGTTTGGAATTGTCTCAATCATTAGCCCTGCATAAGCCATCCTGCATCCAACAAGTCGTCATCTAACCTTATTTGTTTGTTTGATTTCCACCAAATTGCTTGTACATCTATCACCACCTCTTTTACATGTCAGTGGTCAGCCAGGAAGTGCTGGTCACTTTTTTATTTCTCACCTCATCCAAACTTGGCCCTGTGGTGGTTGTGGAGAGTACAACACTATATACATATATACTTGTACTGCCTGCTTTCTGTGGTGTTTCAGCTCAGGCACTGGCTGAGGTCGGAGAACCGGCTATAGTGTGATCCCTGTAATCCCAGGGGTCGTATCTAAGCACCTTAGATGATGGAAGTGAGTGCACGATAAATTGTTAAAACGAAAGAAAAGAATTAGCTATGCACGCTGTGTTCTGTTCCTTGTGTGATGGCATGATGTTGTTTTTGTGAAGTTTTGTTCTTCAGTCCGCTTGCTATCCGTTGCTATTTAGCTTTTGTACAATATGGTTTTTGCCCAATTTCCTTTGATATCTTGTGTTTCTTGCCAATGCTTAATTATCATTAGCATCACAGTGAAAGGGCTCCTAAAAACGCTCACCTTGCATTATTATCACTCGCTTTCAAGCATCAGCTAGAGGGCAATTAAATGTAACTGCATATACGTTCTGCCAATTGTAATGTCAGGTTTGCAGAACTGTACGATTTACATGGGCTTGATATGACACTGCTGTTCTTTTTGAATTCCAAGAAATGCACATGATTTGCTGGCTGCTCTTATACCAAAACTTTTACACTGGATAAGGGTTCATGGAGAATTAATATGCCTTAGTTTCTGCAAACTTCAGCAAAGTGCTTGGCTGTGTGCGAAGCATCTCTGAATTGCATTTTTCTCCTCCTGATTCTAAGTACAGTCCTTTGATGTCACGTTTGGCAGTTGTAGGTGAGAGGTATTTTAACTCAAGCAACCATAACCTCCCCCCTCATCCACAGTCATATTGGCTAGCTTGGTTTTAAAGGCCTTATTGCTGTCTGAGACCCTGTCCAAGCTACCAGTATATATATGCATGTTGTCCTTTCATCGAGATGATATTGCAGAACCTTAGCACTTGACTCTTGTTACATGTGGCAGGTTTTGAAAAGTTGATAGAAGGGAAAAACACATACAAAAACGGCACAAAATTAAAACATGATCTTTTGTTGCTGTTCACTCTGATGTTAGGCTTTCTTTGAGCCTAGAAAATAGAATGCAGAAAATAGAACGCATTTGCACCTTTTAATCTTGACTGTAGTCAGAGAAGTGCTGGATGTGGACAGAGGGTTATTCTAGAAGTTGTGCCCTTGAGCAGGTGCATTTGATGAACGGCTTTATTTTTCATTTTGTTTTCCTGGTAAACATCCTTCAAATTCTGTTCTGCCAGTGGTTGTGTTTTGTCTCATACTATTCAGTTGGGTTGCACACTTAGCTATGCATGATGGGCGGTGTTCATTCACTGGAGCATATGAGAATGGTCTTTGGAATATTGGCATGAGATGGTATAATGGCACACTAATATTGCTTCATCAATTACTTGTTGAAGTGCTTTTTTTTTGCATTGTTAATTGACTGGGTAGTAAGCAGGACCAGACATCAACAGTGGACACTCACAATTTAATCCAGGGGCACAAGTTAATTCAAATCCTGTTGAGTTTGCATCAAAACGTAAACATCTAATTCACCCATCCAGAGCACTTTGTGAGAACAGTACACAGCTTGGATGTTAATTGTGACTGTGCAAGAGAGAGTGACATTGAAGAGCCAGGATGCAGTTTTGAATACCCTTAATAAAAGTTGCACGCTTCACTTTGGGTGGAAAATCACAATATATCTTTCTAATGACTTCAGCACAGGGACCTAAAATTACAAACTAATATTTGTAACACCCACTTTTCCAAACCAAGGCACTTATGTGCCTCCCAAAGGTAACATGTCAAGTATGTAATTTGCTTGCACCTGTAGACTCTATGAGAATCTATACAAAGATATTGATTGGCAGAAAAAGCAAAACCAAAGTGATCTGTCTGCACGTCTAGCACTGTAGTTTCAAACCTGAATATGCCATGTACATTTATACGATACAAATATATATTTTTCTTCAAAAAATTGGTCTGGACTTTATTCTGTGGGTTTTTTCAGTTGCCAGTCATACATGTATTAATACATCGTCTCATCCGAGCTAATATTCCACGGTTGCCGGGGCGATTTCCATAGAAACGCTGTTTGTATTTGTACATTTCCCTGTCCAGCCATCATAATATGCGACAATCTTCATTGCTTTGATTACACCTGTCATACCATGATGCTCACAAAGCGTAACGTCATGGCTGACCGCACACTGCCATGTACACAGCCTACAACCATGCTTTTTATGCTAATCAGCATTGAATAACAATACGAGTAGACTTGTTGCCAGTATCCCCATGTCTCATGTCTTCCTTACATTTATGTTGATGATTCATGTCACAAGCACAAACTGATTTCCAGTTAATTATAACCGAACCGCTAACGTGGTTAGATTGATGATTGACTGCTCCTCCCTAGATTTTGTCCCTCTTTATATGGCTCCCTCTTTCTGACATATATTTTCTTCGTTATTATTTCTATTGTTATTATTATTTATGCGGCATAAAACAAAACCAAACAATACGAAACAAAAAAATGCAATACAGAACAGTAAAATACACAAACGATTAACCAATAGCACATGCCAGGAGTTCAAAAGGTTTACTGACAAACTGTGGCCTAGAGGCCTCCAACTCTGCTGTATACATGTATCTATATCATAAGTGCACTACTGGAGAAAAGAATCCTAGATTTTTGGCATTTTGTACACTCACTGCAAGGTAGACCTTAGGGAGTTGTATACTTGATTAAACATACTCCTAAATTCATGAGCTAACTCCACTTGGCTACCATCAGATTAAAGCTTTACTTTTGATGAAAGTTGCATTTTTAAATTATGATTAATTCCAAAATAACCTTTTTAAGTACAGTAATAAAAATGGTAAGGTTGATTTTTTTCATCTGTTGGGACTGTTACCAAAATGGAAACAAAACAAAAACCACCCCCCTTCCCTGCCGAAAAGCTCTCACTTTAACTGAGGTTTTTCAACCTGTCACACATGTTTGTTATGAGCAAGACTGAGGAGGTATACATTTTGTTTTCTACTGTGATAGGCAAGGAAAAGCGAAAAGGTTGTCGAGAACCGAGACGCAAGAAGAGAACAGGCAGCAGCAGAAATGGAAAGACTTGGGAAGATCTGGGATCAGCCATGACCACCCAGCATATAGATGTCCATCCTATCCCTCAAGTAAATGGAACAAACTCAATACCCGCCACCTCACACCCTCCAAATTGTCAAAGCATTGACGGTTTCCATTCAGTACTGAACAGCTACACCAGCTCCAACATGCAGCTTGAGTCTTGCAACACAGCCCCGGTAAGAACAAGGCGAGGCAAGATGGCTCGGTCGCGGCAAATCGACCCGCCGGCATACGTAACTTTAGACGGTGCAGCGGATTTCCTCGAGGACGCAGACACTGCGAGCCACTCCTCTAATCTAGGATGCATCAATCATGTCATTGATGCAGACAGTGGCTCCCAGAGCTCCCACATGAGGGCAGCAGACAGGGAATACCTTCTCAAGCCTGCTGGTCGGTTACCCCCACTGGACAAAGTTTAAAATAGCACATCATGTGCAATTAAAACTGTCGCTGTCATTGTTTGTGACCCATCATGTATTGCTTTCAATCTCAAAGCTCTTGATATATTAAAAGAACAAAGAAAACCAAGTTTTAATCCATTTATGCTGCTGCTGCTATGTTAGTGGTTTTTTAAAGAATTTTTTTACACTTTTTGAAATACTTCCTGAAGTAGGATTTCAGCATGGATATGTGCATGATATATTAAGGTATTAGTATGCAATAGTTACATGTACGTGGTGGTTGCAATATCTGTGAACTATACTCTATACAGTACTGAACACGTTGCCATTTTTCAAGTTTTTAGGCTCCCTTGACATTTTTTGGTATTTTGTACATGTCTAAACTTGGGACATTCCTGTTCCATGATCTTGAACTTACCATTATGAATATGGCTCGTGGTTTTCGTGTGACAGGGTTTTATTCTTTTTTTGTAACCTCAGAAAATATGTGAAGACAATTTTACTCGCAGTGCGCCCCACAGAGTTTCAGTACTGCACAATCCATATTTAATACTGTAATGTTCAGTCACTTGACAGTACTTTGCTTTTTAGTAATTTGAACAAAGGACCGGGCATTATCCTTTAAAAGGTTTGAAAAAAAAGTATAAACAAGTTTCATCTAGCAATTCAGTCATTATTCTCTGTTAGTGTTTCCTTCTGCCTTTCATACGCTGGATTATTTTTGAGAACGTACGTGGGAAAAAATGTTCGAAATTACGTAAGCAGTTGCACATTATTATGTGTTTGCACTATTAAAAGAAAGTCCGCCTTTCAGAGCATTCTGACTTTCAGAAGTCAGATCAAGTGAGATGTGAACAGAACTTGACCTGGAAATTGTCTGCAGGTGTGTGCGTTTGTTTTCTGTCCTGCAGTGCGTCTGTCACTGTAATAACACAAGTGATTCACTTGAATTTGTAGATAAACCCTTGCATGCACATCACATCCACTAAAACACTCCATTTTGGGAACTATTGTTTTGGAATTCTTGTAAAATTACAAGAGGAAACAACTATTTTTTGTGAACTCTTTCAAGGCATTTATGAAATCATAATTATACAGACCCTGAGCTTAAATTGAACTCACAGAATTGCCACAATTTGGAAGAAACGTTCTGTTAATTACTGCTAAAATAAGCATTAGTAGACAGATATCCATGAATCTTCTACAAGCATTATATGGTAGGGTTTCTTTTTTCACTTTCCCATTTGATCTGTCAAGCCTGCGAACAAATTGACAATCAATCATTGTCTTTAATTGGCCAGTATTTTGTTGTTTTTGGGTATGGTGGTACATATACCGAGAATGAGTGGGCTGTAAATGATGGGTACATGTACAGTGTATTAGCAAGGACAGAGAACAAACTGCAGGGTGGTTCGTACTTGGTGTGAAAGCATACAAGGAACTCGGAATGGTGGCATCAGATTGAATCCCTGAGCTGTGAATGTCTGCATTTTAGCTGCCACATATTTCACTGGCAATGCGCTGTGATATTGACATTGCTTTGGTTTGGTGCATGCTTGAAATCTGAACCAACCTTGAACAGGAAACAGCTCTCTTCTTTGGTCGCATTTCTTAGAGCTGTTGACCTGGAAAAGGCTGCTTAGCAAGTTGACAAAATTTCTGCACCAAGCAAAAAATTCAGCAAGTAGTTGTGATTTTACAATGCTTGAATCCATGTTGGACCGCGGACTGTTTTTTTTTTTGCTCTGCCAATATTTTTAGGGACAGCATATAAACGGACTACTACGTTGCTTACATGTTCAAGTGAAACTTACATTTAGTCTCGTCAAAGCTATCTCATTCATTTCGTACATTTAACAGGCACCAAGTTAAACAGTTTCAAGTTTCTAGTATCTATGATGATTTTGTATATTTATTTCTTTTTAATACCAAGGTTTCAAGGAATAGTGTACATGTATTTGCTGTGTATAAATGAAGGTGAGTTATTTTACGGTTTCAAAGAAATATTTGGAATGTATTTAGAGAGACTTGTTTGTCAGTAAAAAGCGGTGAACTGATTCAATAGTTATTTCCATTTTCAAACCTTCTGATACACAATAATCTGATTTGCAAAATGTGTTACTATTAAACCTCTTTAGTTCTTACATTCTAGTCAGACTAAAAATTATTGATGCATGTACTGAACTGATCCAAAGTTCACATCTCGTGTTGGTTTGTTACTAACTGGAGATCTTTCAGATAAACCTCTTAAGTTCTGGCCATGGTGTTTATACTCACTTCTTATTCTCATACAATGCGTGTTGCATTTATCTGTTTCTAAATAAAAGAGTGGAAAATTGAAATGTTAGCACCAAGTTGTTTTGTGAGATTCAACTGTGTAAAGCCTCACTTATGACAGAAAACTTAGAAAAGAAGTAAAAATTTCACCAGAATACAAAAAAAAATCTTCGGTTTTAAAACTTGCAAACTTTTGAACATATAAATCTTGTATCATAAACTTCACTGTGGCTCGGAAGAGGCTTGGATTCAATTAACCATAAATGGTTACTCAAAGAACAAGTGACCAAAATATTCGGATAGGGCAATCGTTCTCGAGATGGCAGTATATGTATTGAGGTAATCAATTCCTGACATTCACGCTTTCTCAAAAACACTCCTCCTTCAGTGTACTAAGTTTGTTCAAACAAACCTGACAAAAAACTTCTGCCTTTTTGTATGGATTTGACACAGTCCACGACTTATTTACAATTCTCCAAATATCAACAGCGGAACAAACTTTATACAAATTGTGAATTGTGCTATCAATTTGCAAAATTTGCTCTGTTGAATTGAAGATGTAGATTCACTATGCTTGCACCGTGATTTGGCCCAAGTTTCGGAAAGCAAAATATTGTTTCAAATTTCGTAAAGTAAAGTTTACACTGTCCACCGGAAAAATACAAGAATGCAATCTGAAAGTAACAAAATACATCACTTTGACAGAAAACTTCCCGAAATACACTTCAGCTGGCATAGTTCTCTTAACATGGCACACAAGTAGAAGAGTAGACTACAAAATTCCCCAACTACAAATAAATAGAATGACACTGAAAAAACTGTCAAAGTTTTCCGAGGGGAAGATCCAAATCTAACCCACATTTACTTCAGGTGATATTGTTGCGCAATGAATGTCTTTCTCTTCCTCAGTCTGTTCCAGTCCTGGCCAAGTTTCTCCTTTGTGTTGCCACTCCCTCTCACCAATGTCCTTTTGCCCCGCCCCCTCCCCAGGCTCTCCTGTTTCCTGGTCTAATGTCTGCCTCTCGCAGGGACACTTTCCCTCCTCCCAGCATGCAACCTTCCGCTGGATAGATTCCGGCACCAGCATGACCAGGAATCCTGCCACGATTAGTGCCCCACCAAAAATCTTCAGTGCCCCGAACGTTGCACCTCTGACCAGCCAATCAACAACTGTAAGGTGAATCAAGACCACGTTTCTCTTGATTATAGAGGTACATGTACCAACCAGAGACTTCAAGAACAAGAATCCAAGAATTACAGACTGCTAAGTTAACTGGATTATGCAAAACGATCCATCAATTTTAAGATTGGTCACTTCTGGCCATGCACTGTGTACTGGATATTGTTCCACTTACCTCCATTCAGAGGAATCCCTACAACAGTTCCCAAGGCGATGAAAAGGGGAAAAGTAATAGCTATGCCAAAGTTGACTAGGAAGTTAAACACTGCGAAAACAAACAATTGAAGAGGAAGTCTGAAAAAAATATAGACGGAACAAATCAGTCTTTCATTTTCTGATGCAATATCCCAGACCATTAAGCCCTCAAGTCTGGAACCTGAACTACTTTACCTAAGGTCAGTGCAGCACCCCCACACAAGAAGGTCACAGGCAGGTTCCCCCAGTCCAGCGTCTCAACGTTTGTCAGGTACAGGATGAGCATGATCGGCCAAAAGAAGACAAGATTGAAGAGGCCCAAGAGGGACAAAAAGAGAGAGACTTGACCGAAAGAGGCGTTGCCCACACACCTGAAAAACAGCACCTGCAAGGATGGACAGGAAAATAAGGAAATCAATGATGAAAGGAAACATCTTTAAAATCAATGCTTTGGGACACAGTGCAGTCATTTTTAAGAAAATATTCTGTTTTCCATGACGCACCAATCAGCAAAATTTCTCACTTTAAACAAATTTTTCACCGGTTGTCCTCATGTCTATTTGCTCACATTTACAAATGTTTGTGAGTTGTCATTGTATAATCTTACAATTAGAGGGGATTACAGATTAATATTCTCCTTCCAGACAATTTTTGTGCACCTGGAACTTATGTGCATAAAATAGTGTGCTTCTCCATATCCAATAGCCTGCACTATATACAGGCCCCATTGATTATCACTATGACAGCACTGCCCGTGACTACATGTGCGTGTACCTACAAGAGGGTACCTACAGGAAATACAGGTGCCCGGTATGGACCACACAGAAAAGGAGTGGTGGGTTTTGGGGGCAGGGATAAAGGAGAGGGCCTGATGTTAGCTTTACCTTGTAAAGAGCAGCACCAACGGACGCTCCAAGAGCTAGCACTACTCCCTCTGCGCGGCTACCTCTGAACCCGTCAGCGTAACACACTAGGACAGTGCCAAGGATGGACAGGACGACAGAAAAACTCTGCGTGGGGAACAAATTGAATTGGAGCAAGTCCACCTGTCAACCTTGGCCTGTTCACTGTGAATATTATTTTTTGTTTGGTTAGGGCGAGGGAGTTTGGGGGGGATTCCACAGACAAGTGAAGCAACTTCCACAGCCACACTGATGCTACATTATCCCTGAGCAATCTCGGAAGAGATTCACTGAAACTGCATCACAGTAAGATTAGACCCCGTCACAAAACCTAACAATACCACATCCAAGTGTCCAGGAAATAAATCTTACCCTCGCCGGGATGAGAATGAATTTCTCCTTCAGCCAAATCCAGGAGCAGATGTAGACAAATGCTGTGTTTGTCGCAAAGAGCGCGGTGACATCTGTTACAGTGATAATACCCACAGCTCGGATGTACACATAATTGGTGACCATCCAGCACAGGCAGAATGGACCGATGTACTTAAAGTATGTCAGTACCGTCAGACCGTTAGGTCCAAAGATCTTCTGGTCCTCCCTGGGGGTGAGGAAGACATACATTTGAAGCTCGTTACTAAAAGCACTGTTAATAAATGATTATGCTTGTACTGAGATTTTTAGGTCCCAATCCTTTGTCCTACATTGTTTCAATTCCTGATAATACAGGGTTCCTGTTTCAACAAGGTATTTTGCCAAATCCGAAGGACCTCTTATTGTGTCAAATTTTAGACAGACCATGTTAGAGGCCGCAGCACAGAATAGAGACCTTGCGTTCCATTTGCAAAATTACAGTCTACCTTCCCATTAAGGCCAAAGTGAAAGATCTGTTTTCAAGAGAGTCAATTTTCTCTTAGTTAATCCTCACCTTCTTGTTGCTAGAATATCTTAGGTTACAATGTATGTGGTTTTTTCAAAACATGAAATTTAAGGACAAGGGCCTTTTAGCACCACACAGTGCCACAGGTAGAAAGGTCACAGTGATGTTCACCTCACTAATTATTCGCACAGCTTTCTATATACCAGGCAAGATATGGGACGGAGGGGTACCCCCCTTACCTGTCCAATCCCTATACACACTCTAGACTATTGTAACCTAACACATCCCCCCTAGAAGTCTGTAAAGAATTCCTGAGATTCCGACCAAACAATGACCAACACAAAGGCGGGGGGTTCTCTCCGTCCCATATCTTGCTTCAAATGGCTTCCTACTTCAAATGTTGTAGTTCTGAAGGATTAACCCTAACACTCCTCAGTCCTCCAACAGGTGAAGGATTGAGGAGTGTTAGGGTTAACACTGTTTCCACAGTCTCACCTGAATAGCACACGCAGTCCACCTTTCCTCTTCTCCTTGAGACACACCCATGCCCCAGTCACATACACCGGGTAACAGATGACGTTCCAAATAGTACTGAACCAGATCACGAAGAAGGGTGCATTGAAAGTTGCGGAGTAGGTGCTCTTAGTGAACTGCATCGCACTGACCCAGGACAGTGCAATGCCAATGACAAGTACCAAGCCATGGAGGATTTTTCGTACTTTTTCTGTCAAGCACTTCCTCTCACCGTCTTTCTTTTCCTTTGGGTGGAGGGTGATCTCAACTTTTCCATTTTCAAGTCGTGCTGAAAGATGTTTGTGAGTGAGTCAGATTATTTGGGGAATGGATGGTGACTGTAAAAATTTACATACATGTATACAAGTATATTCCCAGCTACAAATTAAAATCAGTATCTCACCAGATCCTAGCCTTAATGTATGTGTAATATTGCTACTACCAAGAAGAACTACCATAGAAGCACTATTATCGTCACTACAATCAACATTATCACCACAGTAGAACGATGACAAGGCATCCTCATTACACTGTACATCACTTCTACATTGCCTTTCACCATCACTATCAAACCCATCACCATTGCTAACATCCACTGCCCATGCAATCGTATCAGAAAATTCATATCACAACTATCATCAGTCACCATCATCAGTCAATACCACCATCAGTCAATATCACCACCACAACCCATCTTCTTCCTGCTGCTCACCACAGTCACCCCCACTCCACCCCTAGCCCGAGCTTACCATGACTATGTTGACTCTCAACCACTTCCACCTCTACTTGATCCTCAATAGCAGTATATTCCATCATTCAGAAAGTTCCTACATGTACCTGTACTATCACAACAAAGTAATTAAATCAAATTAAAAGTCTTGCCTCTTTTCTTTTTTTTGGGGGGGGAGGACGACCGACTTGCTGTGGGCATGGTGGGCCAACAACAAACGTGAAAAATCCACTTTAATAGTGTTTCGTTACAACACCATGGTTACGATAATCTTTCTCTTGGATGCCTCAAGAAATTTCCAGGTGGAAAAAAAACAGGTTCGAATAACGGATATTTTTGCAGGTCCAAGTCAACTCGAGTCACAAGTCTAGTAAAGTCAAAATCACAAGTACGTGTGATTTGGTCAATCATAAGTCAAGTCACAAGTCTTTTAGTCACAAGTCAAGTCATGTTATACAGGTACATGTACATGTATGTCATTTGGCCAAAACACAAGTCTAGTCACAAGTCTTCTAGTATCAAGTTAAGTCAAGTCATGCAATACATGTAGGTCATTTGGCCAAAACACAAGTCAGGTCACAGGTCTTTTAGTCACACGTCAAGTCATGCCATACATGAACATGTAGGTCATTTGGCCAAAACACAAGTCAGGTCACAGGTGTTTTAATCACAAGTCAAGTCATGCCATACACTGTACATTATTTGGTCCAAACACAAGGCAAGTCACAAGTCTCTTTTGTCCAAGTACATGTAGAAGTCCAGTCAGACATTATTTTGTGCAGATATACATGTAATAAGCAGATGGGGCTAGGCATCAACTTACATTGTAAGATATTTCCAAAGTTGCTTACACCTTTTTTTCCTGCCATTCTGTACCACATCGTATTGTAAGCATACATTAAAGGGGGTCAGTTCCAAAGAGCTGTTGAACTTAAAGGATCTTATAGCAAAAACGGTATTTTAACCAAGATGTCAGGTGACAAACATGTTTATTGCAGGTTTTGGACCACTGAATTTGGCACACTTGCTTAGTATAATTAAACATTTTCGTTCAATGTAAGGCAGACAAGGCAGTGTCTTCTGTGGGGGAAAGTCGAAATCAAGTCACCAGTCAAAACCGGTAGTTGTCTGTACAAGTGAAGTCACAAGTCCAACTCAAGTCCAAGTCACATGACTCAAGTCAACAACTCTGTATGATATAATTTTCAAGAGTGAGCGTGAGGCCTAACGTTAGTCTTAGGTGTAGCCATGGAACTATATTATTTCCAGATATTGTAAGGCACAACCCTACTGTAATTAAATCTTGGCTCCTGTGCAAAGTTATTGTACTTCATCCAGCATGTCCAGAGCTGATTTGCCTTTCAATGAATCCATTCGTGGGATAATCAACTCAGGAGGAAGTTTGATCAATTTTCGCAAGAGTCAGGTTTGTGCATAACATAATGAGTCCATTGAGACGATATACAGAGGTCGGCCATGAACCTGACGCATGTGCAGTGTAATGAGTACGAAGTACGCGTTATGCTTTGATCATACATGTACATGTAGTCATGGGAAGAATAAGAGGAAGTTTTCCCTTGCAGTGGTTTAGTACCTATCCGAAGGTGAAAACAAGTCCTAAAAAGTCAAATTTAGCAGTGAAAATATTGACGCATTTACTTCGAAAACACATAGGCAAGAATATTTCAGACCAGTCTCATATGGTTTGTGCCCAGGGTGTCAAGTGATGGTCATCGTGTATATGAACTCTTGCATAATGTCTTGCAAAAAGGTCTGATTTGTTTTAATGTTCTGTCACATCTTGAAAGGAAAGAGTTTCATATATGGACGCTGTCAATATGAACTCATAAAAAATACATGTAGCTGGGCTGTATAAAGGCATTCACTGAGTAGGCCTTTTGACTTGCAGTTCTTTAAGACCATGCGAATGAACATTCCGGATTTCCGTCCACCGCCCACATACCACTGCACTGCTGAAAAGGCCGCCAACAAATTTCATTATTGCAAAAAATTTCATTACGGTATCACAGCAAAATCATTGTTTTTCCCACTGGAAATGGGAAAAGAATGGCCGCAAAGTAATCATGAGTTGGTAAATCTGACATACACTGTAAGCATCACGTGCATACAAATTAATCACAGTGAGATGCAAGATGGCCTAAGGTTGAGAGCTAGTCTACTAACACTGACTAGTGCACTTCAAGAATAGTTCCCTTTGGTTTTGCTTGGACAGAGGCAGATCTACAGGGGGGGCTGCAACCTTCCCCCTCCCCCCCATTCAGATCGATGTGAAGTTACGTGTAGTTCCTCGTTCCACATTCATTGTTGAAGGAGTAACCATTTGATATCCCAACATTAAATAAGTAACCATTTGACATTCACAATGCACACCGCTAAAAGTGATGGAGTATAAAAGGGAATAAACACCCCGCCACCCTGCACATCCATTCACCTGTTTACATGGACCCAATTTACATTGTACATGTATGCGAAATTTCACAATGATGCATACACAAACAACTCTCCCACAAAGGAAACGAAGGGCAACAGCTTTTTTGGGGTCAAACAAGCCCTGAAATGTTGGCAATGCTTTTTTACGGCAGGGACTTGTAATTATTAAAAGAAAAATCTTGCCATTTTATCAAAACTACAGTACATGTATTTCAGTTAATCAAATAATATAGATCTATTCCACACCCCAGCTCTAAACTTTTTTTTTCAAAGTGCTTTGCTACACTTTAGTGACCCCTTTGCCACCATTTCAACCAGAGCAAAGTTTTGTCTACGGTCCAAACGGCTATGACAAAAGTCTTGTCAGTGGGGTTCTTTGCTTTCAAACCAGAGTGGGAAAGTGAATGCATCACACCATAATTTTCTGAAATGGAAATAAAATACCCAAACCCGTGCACTGCCTGAAGATTAAAATGAATCTGATGCCATTGTTCTACTCAATCATGTCAATCAGCGACGACTCCTTGCAGCCCTGGGCATGGGTTTTTTGAAGGTCAAACATGCCCTAAAATGTAGTTGGCACAGTTTGTTTTTTGTCCCTTTCGCACTCCATCTCTTTAAGGGACGTGCATCCTGAATGTCAAATGATTATTTCTTCAACATTGAATATCAGTTACTTGTTCAACATTGAATGTCAAATGCCAAACGAGGAATAAATAATTACAAGTAGCTTCACACCAGTCCCATCTATCCATCTATAGTTAAACAATTACATCCATTTCTGGTAGATTCCCTTAGCAGGGCATCCCTTCAGTACACCCATCAACTCCCCGTTTCCTGAAAGCTAGATCCGTCCCTGCTACTTCCAGAACTGTATAGGTGTATACAAATCTCATAGATAGCCATGTACAAACTTGCATTGCACATTTTGACTGTTTTGATTGTGCCAACTTACTCTGTCATTGGTGCAATTTGTGCAACAAATTTCCATGCCTTCTTCATAAAGTTAGATGTTTGACCAATCACAAGCTCCCATCTTTTCCTTCTTGCTCTCCTGTCACCCACTGATGAAAGCAACACTGTGACTGGCCCAATCGGCTTCCATTCCAATGACCAATCATAGCTACGCTATAATTTTGATGGGGTCAGGAAAACAAGTAGGAAAAAAGAAGCCGTGTTGTGATTGGTCAAGCTATCATGTAGCTGACAGTGATTGAGAGTACACGCTGCTGATTTTCTGAAGTGTGGATGGGCAAAATATTCAAGAACTTCACCATCCTGGAGAGGTTTTCTGGTGGTCGGAGGTTGTTCTATTTATTGCACTAACGTCTGGGCAAAGGGGCAACTCTCCATTCACTCTGTGCACGGATTTGCATGTTTTCGCCCTTTTTTGCTGACATCTAATCTGGTGCCCAAGTTTTGGAAGAGCCCATTGGTACATATAGTATCTTATCGCTTAGTCTGGGTATTGGATACATGTACATGTATGTCTTGACATGGAGCCGTCGAGACAATGAGGGGTCAAGTGACATAATGTTCAACGACCTTAATATTTCAAAGATGGCAACTGTGAGAGCAAGCCCATGAGATTGAATGGGTGAAGGCAAAAAGACTGGAAAATACCACAACAACGTGAGTGAAATCATTCAATAGATGGCGCTAAGAAAGCCGAGAGGGTAAGGATTATCTCTGTGTGCGAAAGAAATTGCGCCCACGATAAGTGGGTGCGCCGAAAATGTTCAGTACGGCTGAGTACGCCGACACAAAATTGCGTAAACGGATGTGTGGCTAAGGATGGATTGGGAGTGAGGGTCCATGCCTTACTAGTGGGGCTAACTACATGTAGGCTACAGACTGGGCCTAGGCCATCATGTCGACCTAGGCCAAGTGCAGAAAAGGCTAAGAATGAGGGGGCATTAACCCTAACCGTGAAGCATATTGTTTGGCTTAAACTACACAGTACTACAAAATATTAAGTAGTAGTCTGAGCCTGAAGTACATGTACCTAGTGCTACAGGTTACTACTTCTGGCTAGGTAAAGGTTACTTCCATTGTTACTTGTACAGAGAACAATTATAAAGCTATGCATTCATAGTGCCACAGCACTGTCTAGTACATTGTCTTTTCTATTTCATCGTATGGAGTACAATAAGGTCACGTCCACTTACGAGCGACAGGACTGAATACTACATTTTACTACAACTAGTATTGTAGTACTAGGCCTAAGTATGTATACGGTTAAACTAAATCTTTCCTAGTGTTAATGAAATCTTACCTACCATGCTCAGTCTGTTCTTTACAAGAAATTCCCCCCCCCCCAAAAAAGGAAACGTTTATCACGCCAAAAAGCTACATATAGGCCTACCAGTACCAGCATTTTGTACTCACATTCACTATTCAGACGGACAGTCACCAAAATTTAATCACACGATCACTGACGATTGCCAATAGCTCAATCACTCACAATGCCGGCAGCGTGACTTAGGTATGGTACCTGTTCTCGTTCAACGAATGAAAGCAGACAAGCTTGACAGGACTGGTGGTAAAAAAAACTAGTCATTTCTTGCCTCTTGATGGCGCTATTTACATTTTAAGGTTCCACTCGTTGATGGTTGCGCTACACCAAAAATACTCGCCCATAGAAAACTGCAAAATGGGACTGAAATAGCGACGCCTGTTGACTCTCGTGAAGAGCTTGGCCTCTGTTTTTTTTTTCACTGGAAATTCTAGATTATGGCCAGAAGATCACTTTTAGTTTCAATTTCATGGTGGTTAGCCACAATTTTTTTTTTTAATTCGCCTTTGAACGAAGATACCCCAAAAATAGCAGTAAAACTAAGCACTCATTTCTGAATGTAGCCGCCCACCTCTATCTAAAAAAGGCCCACAATTTGGGGCTTTTTGTGAAAAAAATAGGCCTAACCCGAACTTGAAAATGTCAGTCCCAAGTTCGGGATTTATAGAAATGTTTCTAAGATCCCTCCTGATTATATGGCATGTCTTATTGTAAAAATGCCGTGGGATCAAAAAATATAAATGAACTCGCTCTCAGAAATACAACCATTTGGTGGAATGCACCCTTAAGAGGCACGGCTCTGTAGTATCACCTGGAGGGGTGGTTTCGTAGTGAAGATCGAATAGCTCAAAAAGGACAAAATCTGTCCAAATAGAGAAACCGTGTCCAAAAATTGAATACACTCTCTTGTTTTTATAAACAAGGATAAAATAGTTTGGTCCGCTGCCACTGAATGCAGCAGTATTTTTGTGCGAAATGACAATCTTATTCAGTAAACAAAAGGGAAAATTGAACATCTACAAAAACTGCGGGACACAGGGCAGAAAAACTACCAGAAAGAGGATGACAGACGGAACTTTTCCGTTTCCCCTTCGTCGGGCCGGGGGGATGGGGGCTTGAAAAAGAAATGGGGGAATTTCTGGCCCTTTTCCAGTTATTATAGGACAGAATAGTCAATAAGCCCCTCCGAAGAGACACAGTGTGCATATTTCTGATACTTTTTGTAATATTTACTGTTTTGACAACTTCAGTCCACAGAACATAAAAAGGACTTAAAAAGGACAGGGCGTCCCCTTTTGGTCTGTTTCCATGGGCGCCGCCATCTTGTTTACAGGTCGCGCACACAGTAGAGATCTGTGGTCGCGCATGGCATCAAATAACGCCGCCTGTTGACTCTCGGGAAGAGGCTGGCCCCCGGTTTTCACTGGAAATTCAAGATTATGGCCAGAAGTTCACTGTTCGTTTCAATTTTATCGGGGTTAGTCACGCGATTTGTTTTATTTGCCTTTCCCCGAAGAAATTGGAAGAAATTGTTTATCATGTAAATATACTTTGTAGCATAGGATACATGTTTATACTTAATTAAATCTATATAATAATCCAGTAAGTTCGGAGAGCCTCTCGACACTTCTTTTAGGCAATCCAGCGGGAGCTAGGTGGATATTGTGTGCTGTTTTGTTCCTCTGTGCTGTTTGCATTGTATCTACTATGATGTAATATTCTTGGCTGCAATTTGTATACATCCCAGAAAATGAAATAAATGAAATGTAAAGTGAAATGGAATGAAATTATGCACGCAGAGGGCACCTGTACGCTTCAAGAAGACGCTGCCGGTCTTTGTGTCATGAGTAAGGTTGCAGTTTGCTAATAATGAGTGATTGCACAGGGGGATAAATGGAGCGGTGGACGGTCACAGGAGGATATTGTGTTTGCATGGTTTTTCGACACTCAAAAGATGATTCTGGAATTTATTTGTACGAGAAAGAGGCAGCATTTTGGTTTGCGTACACTATGGCTTGAACTCCCTCTCTGTATGCATGGTGTACGCCACGTCACCAATCTATCTGTGTACGTACTTTATAGACGGCACCTTTATGGCGGTTTAATGAACGTTTCTCACAACGCGGCTAATTCGTTCCTTGGGCTTGAATTCGAGAGTTAAAATCTAGTTTGGACGTTAACTGATCGATTCAAATAGACTCTAAAACTAACTGTTGTCCCTTGAGTAGGATATTTTGCTGTTCCACGCTGTCAGAGAAAAATGAAGCTTTTCTAAATTGGATGACCTATATAATTAGGCCTAACTCGAGGGAACTAGATTCAAGAGGGCCTTACTCAAGAAGCCGAAAGTTGGAGCAATTCTGACCCATCAAATTTAAGTGCAGACCAATACAAATCACAATTTTTAATGCGGTGCGAAAGGAATGGTCACCGATCAAGCACCAAGTGCAAGGGGCCTATTTGACTGTTTTCTCTATTATCCTGATTATTGTGGAATTAGTAAGCTACATTATCAATTATGGTTCTCTGTCATTCCCCAAACAACAGAAAAAATCGACTTGGTTTTTTTGTATGCACTTGGCACTGACCAATAAAAAATCGGTGG